TTTTTTTATTTCTTAATATAGAAATAAAAATTTTTAATAATAAGGAACATTTGAATTATGTCCTTACAAATAATTTAAGGACCCATTTTTAATTTGAAGATCAAGAAGTATTATCCATTGTATTATTGACCCACTGATCTATATAGAAATATTAATTAAAATCAAAAAATATATTTATTAAAAAATATAAAAAATTTTTTTTTTTTTTTACTACAAATAAGCATAAAATGTGCGATTTTATTGAATCATAAACAATTCTAATCAGTACATTAAACATCCATTTAAGTTAATGTTAGCTTATCACATGTTAACTACAAGTTCCTAAAAAACACTATATAAATGAAAAGAAATTTTTAGTGATCCATAAATGGCTTATGCTTATCCATAAACAGCTATGTTAATGTAGAAATTAGTAATAATTTTATTGACTTGGGTTTTGGCTATGCTGTTTGAACCTGTGAAACTATAATGGTAGCTTTTGGGGATGATGTATTGTTGATTAGGTTTTGGATTTGTTGCTTGGACCCGTGAAATCATAAGGCAACTGTTTAAAAGCTGAATAAGATATGTGAAAAGCCCAATATTTTCATATAACTGTGATATTGAGGTTGTTGTTATACTGATAAGGAAAGCCATTGGGGTGTTGTGATGTAAGGTTGTTGTTGTGGTTGTTACAAACAAATATGGCTCTTAATAATACCACTTCGATATCAATTCGATATCAGTTCAATACTTAAATTTACTATAAATTTATATGAGTGGGTCACAATCCATATATTAAATTTACTATAGATAGGTACCATTTTGATATTACTTCGATACTGGTTCGGTACTTTTCGGAGTTTTACAAACAGGTTTGAGTCAGTTTGATTGTTATTTTGTTGGATTGCTAGTATTTGATTGGTTGTTGAACATATGTTAATTATTTGAAGGGGTAGAACTGATTTTAATTTTTGAGAATGAATGAGTTTTTGTGAAAAACGGTTTGGCGTAGCATTGTATGTCAAGTAAGAGATGGTTAAGAAGGTTTGATTAAAACAAGCATTAGACCCAATAACTTTGCTTGAGTGTGATTTTAGGATTAAATTTGTGATAGTAAGGAATAATAAGAAAATGATAATAATGGCATATAGATAATAAGAGATGCATAAAGACAGAGTTATGAAGGAGGACTGCCACAGGTCTTTCCCTATGCAAACAAAGAGTAAACAAGACTCTCAAACTTACTTGATCTTTGTCCCGAGGTTCTTAAGTCTTTATATCTTTAAATTTATAGCATAGATGATATATTGAGAGAGTGAAAAGCACTTCTTCAAAGAAAATTATCATAAAAGGAAATTTTCAAAGAATCAATGATAGTTTTTTTATTAATATTAAAGTATAAAAAAATTATATAAAAAAATTTATAAATTATTAATTATTATAAAAATTATATAAAAATTAATTATCTTTTTAATAAATATATAAAAAGTAGATAGCTTAATATTGTATTAAGCTAAAAAAAATTTTTTTAAAAAATTTTTTTATTATTATTAATCTATATTTAATTAATTTATATATTGAAATAATTTTAACAATTAATATTATTATATTTTTGTAATTGATAAAAAATAAAAAATTTTAAATTATTATTTCTTTTTAATTATAATTTAATTATATTATTTTAATATATTTAAATAATCTTTTAATATATTTCTATTCTTTATATCTCTAAATATACTCAAATATATTTTTATTTAATTGATTGATTATTTATTATATTATAAGTAAAATTAAAAAAAATAGAATAATATCTTGAAAACTATTTTAATATATTTAATAAAATCAATAATATATTGTTATAATTTAATTATTAAATAGAAGATAAATATATTTTATATTAATATTAATAAAAATTGATATATAGATTTTTGGCTTTAAATAATATTTTTGTGTCACCTTAAATTGTGATCTGATATAAAACAAATGATTTTTTAATTTCGATTTTTTTTATTTTATATTATAAATAACAATCAAATTAAATAATTACCTATATCTCAATCAATATTAATCTTATAATCTAATCAAAAAACTTAAATAAAAAAAGAAATTAAAGATTCCAACCACGCCACTTGTAAATTTTTTTAATAAAAAAAATCTTAATGTGTGTCAAAAAGAGCAAGATTTCATATATTAATTGTTACACAAATTACTGACGCGTGTCCAGCGAGTGTCATGTGATATTGAAATTTGATCTATTAATGACACGTACAGTACATTTCTTAAAAAACGGTATACTTGGTACATCCATGTCCAATGTACACGAATATTTCAAGCGTTCTTATGAAGATTGGAACATTCGAGAATTTCTGGAGGAGTGTAATGTAGAGCCACTTGAACAAAAAATTGATTGTTATATTAAGAGTCTCCAAGAAATTGTAAAATATGGAAACGAAAACGGTAAAAAAAGGGCACAGAGGTTGCTCGATAGGTATAAGAAGGTAAGTATAAAAGTTTTGGAGTGCTTTTTATATGTTACAAATTTAAAATTTGTACTTTATGTACGAGTTATACTCCGGCCTTTGTTGGGGCGCAGGCGACTTTCTAGGTCGTTAGGCGACTTTCTAGGTCGTTCTATTCTGCGTTTAAGGGTTTTTAGCCTTGCTAACATAGGTCCTGTCGGGGCGCGGGCGACTTTCTAGGTCGCTAGGCGACTTTCTAGGTCGTCTGTTCTGCGTTTAAGGGTTTCTAGCCTTGCTGACAGATAGGAGAGTTCTTTCATAATAGGGTTTCAAACCTGATCGTCAAATTGCGAGGAGTTGGGATAATGGAAGACATAGAAACAATGTATACATTCACAAACCGACAATATCCGGTGAGAGTATCAGCGGGCTTATAAATATGAACAACAATGGAACTTTCGTTACTGGACCGTCTGAAAAAATTAATATCAGAAGATACCATGGAGAAAAGGTACCAATTACTTTTTATTTAAGCTGGAAGTTTAAGATTAACACAATTATTTATATTTTAGGATGGTCAGGAACAAATAAAACGGATAAGATCAGAACGCCAACAAACGCCTGAAAATAAGATATGTTCGTCCCTTTTTCCAAGAGTTGAGGTACTTATAGTCGAGTTAATATTTAGAATGAAAATTATTTAAATGAATTAGTAAGTTTATCTTGTGTATATAATAGCATGAAACAATTGTATCATCATCTCAAAATAATAACAT